TAACTATTAAACTACACAAGCTAGAGGCTAGAAAAGGTCAAAAAAGGGGGGGTACCTAGCAAGCATACCTATTAATAGGTATACTTTGCTAGGTAGTGTTGATAACTTAGCTAATACTAGGCGGAATAAGCTAATTCTTTTTTTATTAGAAGGCGCAATACTAGGCGCTTCTATTAAATAATAGATTATGTAAGCGTATCTCTGCTAGTTAAGAAGCTATAAGCCAAAACGTAAAAAAGCATACCCTACCCATCCGCCAGCCTAACCACCACCACAAGCCTTCTTCGACCGCTCAGCGGCTACAGAGGCCTCTGCAGCCACCTGAGCTGCTGCCTCACCATACTCCATAGTACCACCTTGCTAGATCTACTTCCTTTTGCGCGATTTCCGCTTAGTTATTACTGCTAATTGCTCTTTAAGCTCAGTAATCTAGGCTGCTTAAAGCGCGTTCTGATACAGCATAAGCTTACCGCCTCTAACAAGCTAAGAGAAGCCTGCTTGCGCAGTAATAGGCAACTAAGTAAAAGACTTGTGTACAAGCTTTAACTAAGATCTAAACTTGTAGGTATTGCTTAGAGTCTTTAACTGCTATAGCGTCTCTAGGAGGAGGGGTTCTAGTAGGGTACGCAGGCGCACTTTAAGGCAATCTAACACAGCCTACGCGTTAAGAGGGACTAGCCCTGCTGCCTTAAAGGCCTTGCAATAGTTCTCTACTATAAATATATTAAAAAACACGTCCTTAAAGGCAGGGAGGAAGCCTTCTTTATTAATATAGAAGACGCGCTTATGTGCTAAGTCTTGTACGCGCTAAGAGTACTTACGCTTTAATAGCAAGAAGCAGACTACATTAAGCAGCTAGAGGATGTGCAATAAGTAAGGTGGCATATAGAGGGTAAGGATTATATTTTTAAGGCAGTAGTCCTTAAAATCCTAGTTAAGGTAGCTCTTATAGCTGTCTAAAATGAGCAGCCTGTACGCCCCCACCTGGCTCGCCTTTGTATGCGCGTTGAAGTGCTTCAGCCACTCAAGGCCAAGCGCGTTGTTCGTCCAGCCGCTCTTGGAGACAGAGAGCTTCCAATTGCGTGGTATATCTGCCTCCTTGTACCAGGCAGAGATGTGAACGCGTCCTTTGTAGATAATAAAAGGCAGGGTACAAGATCTAGCAGCGCAGACGCTCTAGATAACTGTTACCTACTCGCGATCACCTAGCTAAACAAGCTAAGGTTAATTATGTCTCTCTACGCCTGTGACAACCTTTATTAAGCTAATAACACCTATCTAGAAGCTAGTCTTATTAAAGTTGTGCATGTTGTGGTTGTGTACGCTATATTTAGCTTTTGTGTCCTCTACTAGCTTAAACCACACGCTGATTGTCTCTAGATCCTCCTGCAGCATCCTCTGCCTATCTTTAGCTTAATTAAAGGCCATCTTAAGCGTAGCTGAACACGTCACGAAGTGCTCAGCCTAGTGCTTGCCAACAGGCTGCCCACCGCGTACACCCAACAGTAGGCTGGCGGATGGGTAGGGTAGGGTAGGGTATAGG